GAGCTTAAAAAACTACATAGAATTACAACAAATTTCGAACTTGGATTTTGTCATTTTCATGCTAAATTTACTCTTGCTTTTAGTGTCTATTATTACGTCTTATGGCAGCCACATGTCACTCATGGATACCACTCTTCTTCGCAAAATTACCAAAAATAAGAAAAGGGATCTTTCATTTTTCTCACTCAGGCAGTTGTACATATTTTTCCTAGACAAGCAAGAAAATTGCAAGTAAATGAGGAGTCGAAGTAGAAAGGTGATCTTTCGCCAGAGATTTCCAAAATTTTGGGCTAAATTGGCGATGGCACGAATAAGTAAACAAAATTAGCGGCGTGGTTTGACTGTCACTCAAAAATGAAAGTATTCTTCCGCTCCTTTGTTGAGAATTTACAAACTATGCAGATTTTGTGCGGAAAAAGTGCGGAAAATTCTTTGCTGTCACTGTAAGTACCCCTCCTTGAAGCCAATTAAAGTTTATTCAAAAAGCGAGAGTTCACCGTTTATTATGCTATTGTGTACAGGGTGCGCCAAAATATTCAAAGTAATGCCACAACAATGGCAATGAGAAATTTGGTCTGGATTTAATGTCAGAGAATGCCGTAAGCATATTCTACAAAAAGCACTATCAAGATCCCAAATCGGTCTTTATTTAAAGAAGTAAGAATTGCAAAAAGCAATGATCGTGACAGAAGAAAAAGCAAGCTGACGCAAATTATTGAATAGTCAAAATTTTTGTTTTGAATGCTCCTAAAGATTCCGACCTCAGTGACCTTAAAGTCAGAAATTAAATCTATTTTATGGCGAAATTTTCACCTGAGAGAAGAGATCACTGAAAAGATACATAGTGGGCAAGTTTGTGGGCCTCTACCCGCGTGCAGCACGCGACAAAGTCAGAGAAATATTATGAATTTTTACCGAATAGTAAAACAGGGAATTTTACTTCTTTCAACTAGGATATAATGTTGCAGAACAGAGAAAACAATACAATACGAAATTTTCACCTGAGAGAAGAGATCACTGAAAAGATGCATAGATACCAAGCTTGACCGCTGGCTGAGCCGGTCTTATGGTCTTAGCGCTCAATGATACGCGCGCAAATAATTGTGGCGCACCCTATATAAACTTTCTTTTCCGATTTCATGAATTTGCCAAGTTACTCTTTAGGCTTCATCTGTATTGAAGAATAGCAAATAACCTTTGTGAGAGAATGAGGGTCGCAAATGTTTGTGTCGCGGCTCCGCGATGCAGAGCGCTCCTCGGAACAGAAGGCCGGGGGCGCTGTTTGCCGCATTTGCCTGTCGCGCCTTTTGTAGGCTGCTGCAGGACCACCTCCAGCTTGGAAGGTAGCCAAGTGGCGGGGTATATAAGGCTGCGCAGAGAGCAGCCGCCGCCTTTTCGACTTTCGTGTGATTATCGATTGGTTTATCATACTCGGCTACGTTTCAAGCAGCTCCCGCATCTGAGTACTTTTGGTTGAGCGGTTGAGCCTTTCTTTTATGTCTTGTGTACTGGTCGCGCGTAAGCGCAAGGAAAGTGGAAAGTTGTAGATGAACATCATGCGGGAGTGGAGCTTGGTGAGTGCGCCGTTCCATTGGACTGGGCCTCCTTGCGGTCGACTCTGAGGAGAACCCCAGAACTTCATGGTTGGAGCGATTTCTCTCATTCATCGGCATCCTGGGACGCGCGGCTCGTCCCGGAATTTGCTCTCATTTATCCTTGTAGTTTAGGAACCCGTAGTCAGTAGTATTCCTTGTTATTTGTCTGTTTTATTGTTGTTTAGTATATAAACTCAATTAATCTAGTCGTGTTTCGTACGGGTGTATTATTTTGGTGACAGCGTCGAGTGGACGCGCCTTAGGGCCCTATAGGTGTCGGACGCGTGACGTCCTAGGGCTAGGGATTGGTTGTGTATGGCAGTCGGCCTGTTTCGACTAGGGGTGCTGAGTCCTCTGAGCCGCAACATGGTGCATCGACGCCGAGCGTATGGTGGATGATGTTTTCCGCCCGCGCATGGAGTTGGCCGGATCGGTGGAAGGAAGATCGGAAGGATCGTGGAGGGCGTCTCGGAGGACGCGCTATCTCATCCTCCATGCGTGCGTAACGGACCCGATGTCTGCCACGCTCAGCACACCATAAGAAGATCAGGCAAGCAACGAAGCAGTGGTGAATACCTACGTAGCCGGTGGCAAGACTACAGCGGGGATAGCCAGGTTGCGAAGTATGGCGTCAGAGTGCGGGGGGAAAGTCGGTAAGACTGTGGCAACTTGCCAACCGTACCCCTATCGGGCCTGAGCACCTACGCCATGCGATGCTGGTATGCATGCCGCGCTAGGAAAGGGCCCCAAGTAAGGGCAGGTGTTAATGTCTTCGGCGGGCTCGACCAGGGGGCACTAGGGGTATAGTGCCAGCGGCCGCAAATGTCGAGTCGACGCTTCGGTGGAGTTGTTGGCGGAAGGGATCGAACGGACGGAAGGATGACGGTTGGATTGAAGGAGGACTGACGGATGAAGGTTTGGACGGGAGCGCGCAGAGCTGTATCGTCGTACGTGCATTTCAGAGTTGTATCGTCGAGCGCGACGCGCAGAAGGAAGGTGTTCGAGTGGCACGATGGAGTTGTATCGTCGTACGCGCGTGTTGGAGCTGTATCGGAGGGCGCGAGGAGCTGTATCGGTGACGTGCCAGAGAGAGGGTCTACAGGACGGATTGGATAAGGACCGACAGAGTGATAGACAGGGAGCACGATTTCAGTGTTGTATCGTTGTAACGCGTATTCTAGTGCTGTATCGTTGAACGCGTCACGTGTTGTATCGGTGTACGTGCTGAGAGGGGATTGTTGCAGGAGGGTTTATAGGGTGGTTCGATAGACGAAGGAGAACGTGATCACTGTATTGTATCGTCGTACGCGTATTTTGGAGTTTTATCGTCGAACGCGACTTGCATTGTATCGTTGTACACGTTGAGAGGGGACAGACGAAAGAAGGGTCGATGGAGGATTGTACCTGCGTCGGAATGGTATCGTTGGACGCGCGAAATTGGAGTTGTATCGTTGAACGCGACGGCAAGCGCAGGTAGCAAGGAAACACCATCCTTTCAGGAGCCTGGATTACTTCCGAAGATGTATGGAGACATCTTCGTAGGGTGGCGGAGTTGCAGGGAGGCAGCTTCGGAGGACGGGAGTGCTAGGGGGTCCTGGTCCTAAACCCTAGATACTTCCTTTTACATCTTCTTCTAATTCTTCGCTATCTTCCCAGTTGTAATCGGCCCGGTAGTTTTGAGTTTGTAATAGCTGTCTCGTACAGTTTAGATAACTATCTCTAGTCACCTTGTTAACTTTGCTAGTCGCTTATTCGTGTGATTTTTTACTCTTGTGATATTTAGTTCTGTGATATACAGGGTGTCCCAAAAGTATGTATCGAACGTTTGATCGTTAATAACTCTCTTCCCAAGAAGTCTTTTGCCTTGCTTTAGGTACCGTTTTGTAGAGCTGGCTTCAACTTAGATTTGCACTATAGAACGAATCATTCATCTCTCTTCATTACTGTAGGATTACGGTAGAAACTTGAAACATATGGTGTTAATGTGAAAAAAGCTGCCGTTTCAAAATTTTTCAAAAAATCGTGAAAACTTGTGTAATAGGGTTTTTATGGACGCTGAGTTCAATAATTAACTATTCACAAGATTACGAAGCTTTCTAAACGGTGCAATCCCACTTTTTAGGAACATTGAAAAAATGGCCGCTACTTCTTACCTGGCATAACTCTTCAATGAAGCATCATAATAAGTTGGGAACTTTACAGTTATAATCAGCAACTCTAATTAGCCTAGTGTAAAAGTTTTAAGGCTGTTTTGTTTCCTTTCTGGGGCAAAATATGGCCTTTCATTGCTTAAAACCCTCCTTGAAGTTTCTACCGTAATCCTACAGTAATGAAGAGAAATGAGGATTCGTTCTATAGTGCAAATCTAAGTTGAAGCCAGCTCTACAAAACGGTACCTAAAGCAAGGCAAAAGACTTCTTGGGAAGAGAGTTATTAACGATCAAACGTTCGATACATACTTTTGGGACACCCTGTATTTAGGTTTAGTGATCTCATTGTTACGGGTAGTTAGTTGCCTCTACGCGCCGTTGTAGTGCTGCATGGGCACCCCTTCAGGGGGAAGCTTTCGGTGGCCGGGGGCACAGGAGTACACCTGGCCATCGAACCTGTGCCCTTTAGTAGTTTTCCTACCCCCAGGCACAGTTGGTTTAGCGGCCGTGGAAAGGGCGGACTGTCACGAAGGACGGAGGAAGGCAACATCCGGAAGATGGAGGAAGGGACAGCTCGTTGGTAGGAACGGCTCGTTCTGGGAGTAATTCAGGTGCCCGTATACCATCGCTCCGATCGCCGATAAGGAGCCTTGGGTAGTTTCGGACCGGCCTCCGGCATGTTATTCAAGCTGCACCTTGCCATGCGCACGCTACCCCTCAGTTTCGGGGACGTGCTGGCTCTTCAGTGACACACTGCTGTAGTTGTTTGCCTTACGCCCGGGATAGCCCTAGTCGCTGGTCACATATTAGTTGTTGGGATAGTTGTTGGGGTTATAGGTTACTCACATCATAACTTACTCACATCATATTTATCCACGTCATATATATCGTCTTTGTTATGTTATTCGTTTATATTTCATCGTTTTTCCTTTCTTTGCCTTTTCAGGTAATGTCTGTCTTTGGCTCCCACAAAGCCCAAGTTACAAAGGCCGCGAAAGCACTCCGCAACAAGATCACGGAAGTCGATTTGGCCACACTAGAACCGTTGGACTTTACCACGGAGGCAGGTAGGGATCCACAGTTCATTTTAAGTCGTAAAAGTTCCTTATTTCTTCTTTTTACTTCTCTTGGTCGTGCTATTGCGCATTTACGCGCCCAGAGAGAGAAAGCCGAGGAGTATGCTCGTCAGCATCCCGACGAGCAGGGAGAGTGCCCCCTCCTCCAACAGATTCTGTCTCACTGGGACGCCGGGGAGATGGATCAACTTGTGGAGGAGGCCGAAACTCTCCATGATCGTATCGATGCTGCGATCAAACTTCTGCCGAGCTCAGAGGCTTTATATTTTGCTCGTGCTTCTACTGTTCCTTCCTTTTCTGTCACTTCTTCTCCTCATCATACCCAAGACCCTAACCCCACCCATCAGCACGCGCAGGGTACAGAGATGGAAATCCGGAGCCATCCCTTGCCTCAGGAACAACAGCATTTAGAAGATCTTGGCGTTGTCGCGCCAGCTGACCACACTACCTTACCCACGCGCGTTTCCAGCGCTGCCCCAGGATTCAGCGTACCCCCACAGCCCCCCTCACACCCCCCACTTTTGGCAAACCCATCATTACCCTCTTACGATCAGCTGAATCCATTTCTACCCTCCTCTTCCCATACTAATCCTGTTTCCTCCTTTATGGAACAGTCATTGAAGCTACCTGCCTTTGAGATACCGACTTTTCACGGCGACGTCGACAGGTTCTTCGAATTCTGGGATCTTTTCTCGATGGCGGTGCACAACAACCCCAACGTGCCCGCGCCACTTAAGTTCATGTATCTTAAGGCGCACCTCAGAGGACCTGCCGCGAACATCATCGCTGGCTTTCAATCCACGGCAGAGAATTACGAAGACGCAGTACGCACACTAACTAATACCTACGGCCGGCCGGAGATTCTCCGCAACAGACTCTGGGACAAACTGATGCAATTGTCACCTGCGTCGGATTCGTCAATGTCGCAACGCGCGACACTTTGTGGCATCAAAGCCATATGGGCCCAGTTGAAACATCTCAAGGAGGACTCCAGTGCAATCGGCACGCTTAAGATCATACGTGCCAAGTTTCCTCGACGTACGCGTGAGAAGATAGGCGAATTCAAGAAGAGAGGAGATTCGATGTGGTCTGTAGACGAATTATTGGAAACATTGGATTCTATCATCGACAGATTAGAGAACATAGAGGATGCAGATCCGTCGGACTACCATTCCTATAATTCCCAATCAGTAGTTCGCCAACACTCTCCTTCTCCACGCAGATACCCGAGCGTGAACCAGACTGATCCTGCGTTTACGCGCTATCGATCTTCATCCTATTATCCCAGACGTCCATCTACTTCACGTTCACCATCACCTTATAGTCGTCGCGACAGACCGCCAACGCCCTACTATCCACGACGCACGTCGCGTAGCCCTAGCATATCACGCGCGCAACCTGAGTTTCGTTGTGCCTTCTGCAACAGCTATCACCCTTCAGAGCGTTGTAGGATTGTATCAGAGATAGCACAACGTAGGATGATTGTTATTCGTAACAACCTCTGTTGGTTATGCCTGCAATCAGGCCACACGTACACGCGCTGTGATGCGCCATTATGTTCTTGTGGTAGGGTACATCATAGGGCGCTCTGTCAGGACTATGTACGTTTACCAAGATCGCCAACACCACCGGCCAGACGAAGCTATTCGAGACCGCGCTATGCTAGCTCGCCTAGACGTGTGCAGTTCGATAGGGATAATTATCCTTCGTCGTCTCGCGCAGGTGCATCACCAACGCGCAGATATTATTCGAAATCAATCTCACCATCTAGACGACAGTCTACTACACCTCCATCTAGACGCGCTACTTCAGCACGCAGGTCCCGTAGTCCTACTTCAGCAGTACACAGTGCCACCTGTACTTCTCAGTCACCTGATACTGCCATGTTAGAGCCTCGATTCGACCACCACCAAGCTTCTGTAGGCACTCATTCTCCATCATCGTGCACATCGGTGTGCTACGAGAAGTCATTGCAACAGGAGCCACGCCTCATGGTAGTTCATGCTATAACCAAGAATTATAATCTAGACGTGGACGAGCTACTAACAGTTTTTCTTGATAGTGGCTCACAGTATGGCTTCATTTGCACCTCATTGGCCAAACATCTAGGCCTTACGTTCAGAAACACCAAGTCCATTACGACCCTGACGTTCGGTGGACACTCGTTCACAGAGAGATCGTCGGAGGTCACACTCGTACTTTGGGATCAGCACAACCATCCGGTGGAGCTCGACCTCTGGACGCGCGAAACCATTACGACGGTCCCACGAGCGAATACTCAAAACGACACGGACATCGTCGATTTAGGAGATAGAGTTGAGGTTGATGTACTTATCGGTATCGACAACTACTGGCACATTGTGGATCTGCACAAGAACGAGAGATTACCATCAGGCCTCACCTTGTCGCAGACTAGATTTGGTCCAGTCCTATCTGGCCTGAAGTGCCCGGCGACGTCCAATACCCTTGCAACGATCTCGACTCTTTTCGCGGACGACGAGCCAAGGAATGAACAACTCCTACGTAGCCTCCTTGGTCTCGACCTGCTTGGATTAGATGAAAAAGAAGATGCGGAAGATGCTAAAGTCGTTCAACAATTTTACGACACGGTCAAGATCATCAATGGCAACATCTACGTCTCCTTTCCTTGGAAAGAAGAACATCCTCCCCTTGCAGATAACAAAGCTTTAGCGTTTCGTCGATTGCAGAGTCAATATGACAGACTTAGGACGACACCATCTGTATGGAAGGAATATTGTAGACTCATCGACGAGCAATTGAGGAAGGGTGTTATTGAAGACGTAACGCGCGTCATTGCGCAAAGCCCTAACGTGTATTACATCCCGCATCAAGCCGTTTTTAAGGAAGGAAGTTCTACCACGAAATTGAGGATTGTCTTTGATGCCTCTAGCCATCAGAAGGATTGCCCCAGTCTCAATGACTGCATTCATCAAGGACCCTCATTGTTGCCCGACTTAGTAGGAATCTTGATGCGAAGCCGACTTCACCGCTACCTGGTAATCGCCGACGTTGAGAAAGCATTCCATCAGATCCACCTCCATCAGGATCAGAGGGACTCAACGAGATTCTTGTGGATAAAGGACACTCAACAGCCTCCTTCATCAGAGAATCTTCGTGTGTTACGGTTCGCGCGTGTGCCATTCGGCATAAACGCCTCACCATTCCTACTCAACATGTCTATCCGATATTTTCTCGAGCAAGATCCGGCGAATCGTCTTAAAGAAGAAATCCTTACTAACACTTATGTCGATAACATCATAGTTGGAGCAACATCAACTCAAGAATGCCTCAACAAGACTAAGGAGTGTAAGGACATATTCGCCAGGATGAATATGAATCTTCGTCAATTTATGTCTAATAGCTCGAACACCATGCTCTCGATCCCGCAAAGCGACTGTATGATCCTACAAGGGCAGTTCGTCAATCTTTTGGGAATCAAGTGGAACCCGACGCTTGACGTGCTACACGTCCCCATTAACATCACACGGCAACGTGCTACCACCAAGAGGACCGCACTGCAAGCTTACGCCTCTACCTTTGATCCCCTTGGCTTATTGACACCACTATTAGTAAGACCGAAGATGTTCATACAAGATCTGTGGGAGACGGGTTATGGTTGGGACGATGATATCACCGATGATGACGTTCACAGATGGAATACTATCGTGCAGGATATATGCGGCTTCCACGCGCAAGTACCACGCTTTATTTGCTATTCTCAGCACGACATGTACGATTTAGTTGTGTGTTCTGACGCGTCAAAACGCGTCTACGCTGTTGCCATCTACATCTTGGCACAACTAAGGAATTCTTCGACTAAGTCGTCCCTGCTCTTTGCCAAGGCAAAGTTAGCACCATCTGGCGCGATTACGATCCCGCGCATGGAACTACTTGCCTGCCACATGGCTGCTAAGATGGCACGATTCGTGGTAAGCCAGCTGAAAGTTCGTTTCCGATCTGTGAAATTCCTTACCGACTCGCAGATAGTCCTTTATTGGATGCAGTCGCGCAAGCCCTTGAAGACCTATGTGCAGAATCGTGTGAAGTACATCGGACGCGTGCGTGATGAATTTAAAAAGGAACAAATTGATACCGGATTTTACTATTTATCTTCGGAACTTAATCCTGCGGATTGCGCCACTCGCGGGTTAACGGCATCACAGTTACAAGACCACATGTGGTGGAATGGACCGAGTTTTTTCAGAGTACCTTTCTCACAGTGGCCCTGCACGAAGTTTCAGCCATCGTTCGGTTTGCCTGCTGGTGCAGAGACGGAGGAACTTCACATACCCAGAATAACAGCGGCATCCGCAGTCGAAACAAAAGGAGGATATAAGTCGTTTATTCGGTTCACGCGCACCAACTCTTACGCGAAGCTAGTACGTATTACAGCATACGTGCTTAAATACCTTGCTAAGTTACGCGTTCGAGCTCAGACGCACCAGAATATTCGACACCGGACTAAATCGATTCTACTCGGCACGATCGACACGACACCGACCATAACGGCGGATGACTTTACGACAGCCGAATTAGTGCTAATACGTGAGCACTATCGCGAAAGTGAACTACAGATGCGCGCTTCGTATGTGAACAACCTCAAGAAGATATACGATACGGACGGAATCATAAGGGTCGATCTTCGCATGGGTAACGCGCGAAATAACAACTTTGGAAATCCTATTTTGATTTTATCAAGTCATCCTCTTTGCGATATGTTAATCGCGCATTACCATCACCAGTTATTTCACGCGGGACCATCCCATCTAATGACTGCTCTACGCGAAAGATTCTTTATACCCAAATTGAGACGGTCTGTTAAATCCTATATTTCCAGATGTGTTACGTGTAGAAGGTACCAAGGTCGCCTATGTGCTTATCCACAATCACCGGATTTACCTGTCCAGAGAGTAACCAGGAGCCGACCATTCCAGCATGTCGGTCTCGACTATTTTGGACCAATTTTCGCTCGTTTGCTAACGTGCGAACGCCATAAAGTATGGATTTGTCTCTTTACGTGCATGGCGACGCGCGCACTGCACTTAGAAGTGGTAAGAGACAATTCAACTTTTCAATTTTTATTAGCTTTCAGAAGATTTATGGCGCGCAGAGGAACTCCAGATAGCGTTACGAGCGACAACGCGCCTACTTTTAAGTTAGGACAGGAGATCATCAACAACGAGCTGAGCAGGATAGCGGAGGACCTCCAGACGAACCAATTTCTCACGCGCCATAACATCAGTTGGAAGTTCATAACTCCATACTCACCGTGGAAAGGCGGATTCTACGAGAGATTGGTTGGTTCAGTCAAGACTGCATTCAAGAAGGCAGTACACAATCAGGTTTTGGACTTATGGCTCCTAGAAACCTTGATGGTAGAGATCGAAGCTATCCTCAACACCCGACCACTTTTTCCGGTGAATTCGGCGAACGCTGTTACCCACATGGCCATTCGACCCATTGACTTGATCACGCCTAACTTTCGTATAGCACGTCTGACGTACAACATGCCACAGAAGATCGTGGACTCGTCGAGCGATAATTATCACGCGCTACAGACGCGTTACAAAGAGTTACAAAGCGATTTGGACAGCTTCTGGAACATCTGGCAGCAGGAATATCTAGCTGTATTAGCGGAGAGAGAAGCTAAGCGCGTCAAGGATCGCCCTACTACGAGTTTTCCAAAAGTTGGAGATGTTGTACTCATTCGACAGGACGCGCCGAGGTCAAATTGGCCACTTGGACTTATTTTAGAATTATACACGTCCTCAGACGGCAATACGAGATCAGCAAAAATCAAGACCGGCAAGAGACGCGTAGTAGATCGTTCCATCAGTCACCTACTACCTTTAGAGGTGGTAGCAGAGAATGAAGAGGCCCCCCAACGCGGATATCAGAAACATTTGCTACTGAAGGACAATTTACAAGGAACTTCCAAGGCCTGAACAACGGTAAAATACACTCATGTGAGTGAAAATTCATAAATTTTTTCCTTTTCTTTTTCCTTTTCTTCTTCTCACTATTCTGACCTTCTATCTCTTTGATTCTGTTGTTTTGATCGAGCCGATGAGCGTCATACGCGCGTCGTAGCAGTTTCTTGGTCTAATTCTCTTTTCAGACCACGTGTGGTCCCGACACGAAGTACCGCCTGCAGGGAACGCTCGTTCGTCAGGCTACCTAACACATGAACTGCTTAGGATTGCGAAATAACATCGATCGAGACGCTCGTCACTCATTTCATCATTCGTCTGAGCGGACGTGCTCATTCTTTTTATTTTGTAGTACAGTTTCTGTTTTATGTAATTATTTCATAGTAGTTCATATTCTTAACCACTCACACGTCGCGCTAACATTTTGCCGTTGTATATGATCTCGATTGTAAGTCCTTATTTAGTGCCAACCGACTTTGGGAATTGTTGATTACCGTCTATCAATAAAAGTTGTCAACCATCTGTCAGTTCCAGTCTACGACACGACTCAAGGATCAATTCAAGTAAGAAGTTAATAAGTTTTTATTTTCCTCTTCACTCTAATTTGGGGCTCTTCTCTTTTCTCGGTCGCGCACCGAACATTTTGCGCCCCTATCAAAAATTTTGCGCGCACATTATTTTTAATCTAAATCCAAAATTCTTCTAAATTTTCCTTACATCTTCTTACTTGCATTGAGCCTTTTCATTCCGCCGTACCATAGAGCGCTAATTTTACAGGACGCGCGATCGTCACCACCTTCATTATCAACGTCTGCTGCATCAGTCCAACGCACATCATCACCTATGTCGAAGCGCATGGCGAGCCCCGAAGCGCGTTTTGACCAACCGGCCCCTTCTTCTTCTCGCGCGCGTACATCACAAGGCCCAACATCCATTCAGGAAGCGATAGAGCAGCTAGCAGCTAGGGAAGCGAGAAGACTATTCGCGCACGCCGGCAATGAGTTAGAGCTTCGCCAAATCCTTGCGCAGATTCAGAAACAGCAGCGCACTCTCCAGACGCGCATGGCCAGCGTTTCAGCTTCGGCCCCTCTGCGTCCACCCCCAGCGCCGAACGCGCTTGCGCCCACACGGCCTGTTTTTGACTATGCCATGCACGCGCTTCCCCATACAGTCGAGGAACTAACCGCTGCCCAGCTGCGTAAAGTCTTCAATTTCATCGCTACTGCTCCCACGCACGCTACCCCGCAACCACCCGCCGACTCAGCGCTTCTTACGACCCTGCAGCAACAGCAGGCCGCCACGGTAGTTTACCATCTGCGCCAACTCGATGACGCGTTACAGTGCGCAACTTCCATCTTTCTTAACGTGCAGACCTTCTTGTTGTGCAGCGCTCCAGTAGACGTTAAATACGTCAAATTCATGGCTTATATCCACGCGCTGCAGCACGCTTCGACCGGCATTATCACTCACCGCGATCTCATTAGCGATGCGCTCCTTCCCAACCTCTTTGCGCGCTCGCAACCGTTCCTCGACGCGCTAACCAGCTTCAACGTCAGCGAGGCCCTCATCACAGAAAAATCTATGGCTGCATCTGCCGCGATAGCGCATGCGACGCGCCTAATGCGCATCCTCGAGTACCACCAGCTCAACTACGTTATGACGCGCCGCAAGGAGACCTTCTCAGCCATCGATGAGGATTACATAAGGCTCACCACTCCACCAGAGCCAGAACAACCACTAGTCGAGCCACGAACCTACGTTCGAGCGCTACGTTGGTGGCAGGACAACTACGATGACGTTTTGCATGGAACGCTGACCAACGAGTACCTTGATCTGTGCCGCAGAGATGAACCAGCCGCGCCAGAGTACCGACAGTCAACTGAAGAGCAACGTCAGCCAGACGTGCAACAGCAAGAAACGCCGGTAACGGAGCAGCCAGTCGTGGAACACGACCATGATTACCCGATTATCGAGCCGCTGCAGCAGGTAGTGACGATAGTTATGGCCGCGCATCAGATTCACGTGCCACTACTCGACGCTCCACCAGAAACACCGATCCTCCAGCAAGAAGATCAACCTCCCCAATCCCCATCCCCGGAATCAGTTCAGAGTATCGACGAGCCCAAGATTATCCCGACGACGCACAACTCCCCACAGTCACCCCAGGAACAGTCAGACCACGGATCCGCGTCGACTACACCCCCGCTTTGGCCTTCTCTTGTCGCGCGGGAGGGTGGACCTGAGTCCACTCACCAGGCTGCCCCGGACGCGCGACCGATGCCATTGACCGGAAGCCGCCGCAGACAACCACCCTGTGTCTTTTGTAGTGGAGAAGGACATTTTAGCGCGGAATGTAATATCGTAAAGAAGATGAGCCTTAGAGTCCGGATCGCGCTGGATAGAGGATTTTGCACGACGTGCCTGTGGAAGCACTATGGACAGTGCAGGAGGAATTATGTGTGTAATAATTGTGGCCTGACGCGCCACCACCGCGCCTTTTGTCGTCGCAACACGGGGATTGTACAGGACATGACGGAGATGACGCCGGACGAGTTTTACGCCTGGTTGGATCGACTTACTCATCCCCCAATGCCATCCGGGGACTTTTTCCAGACGCGCGCCGGAACATCTCAGCCTCCACGCGATGCGCGCGAGTAGTTAGTAGGGGCGAGCTCATGCGTAAGACGGTGCTTGGAAGAAGACGAGCGGTTTGTATTTTTCAGTCATTTTGAGATTGTCGACCCCATAGAACATGCTCATTTAGCAAGATCCAGCTGTTCGTATGGTATGGACGATCATCACACCTCAGTATGTGGCTGATACAGACGCGCGTCGAATGTGTGTATGATGGTTGTTGCCCGTCGTGCTGAGCCGCAGTCTACAGATACAATTGTATATATTTGTTACTTTTATTAAGTTTTACGTCGATCGCCTAACTAACTACCTATACTTACCCTGTTGTTTACCTATATTAATCGATTTCAGTTAATCATCTGCTCATTTATTTGTTCTTCCACTTATTCAGTAGCGTTTCAGGGTAGGTAGTCGTGCGCCACAATGCGCACCATGATATCACTTACGTTTAGTAGTTATTTGTTCAATCAGTTATTTGGTAGTGGTAGGGCGGTAGACGCGCCTTAGCAGTTATTACTCATTTATGATCATTTTAGTTCATTGCGTATTTATCCGTTGTGCTACGGGACGGGTGCCTCTTTCACAGCGTACTCCACGCGCTTACCTTGATGCCGATGAGCTCTGTCTTTTTCCTGTCTACTTCCAAAACTTATATGGTAGTACCCTCAGTTGTCGCCAGCGTCATCACGTAACCACCTTATCGGACGCTCAAGCCACTGTTTCGGGGGGGGGAGTGTCGCGGCTCCGCGGTGCAGAGCGCTCCTCGGAACAGAAGGCCGGGGGCGCTGTTTGCCGCATTTGCCTGTCGCGCCTTTTGTAGGCTGCTGCAGGACCACCTACAGCTTGGAAGGTAGCCAAGTGGCGGGGTATATAAGGCTGCGCAGAGAGCAGCCGCCGCCTTTTCGACTTTCGTGTGATTATCGATTGGTTTATCATACTCGGCTACGTTTCAAGCAGCTCCCGCATCTGAGTACTTTTGGTTGAGCGGTTGAGCCTTTCTTTTATGTCTTGTGTACTGGTCGCGCGTAAGCGCAAGGAAAGTGGAAAGTTGTAGATGAACATCATGCGGGAGTGGAGCTTGGTGAGTGCGCCGTTCCATTGGACTGGGCCTCCTTGCGGTCGACTCTGAGGAGAACCCCAGAACTTCATGGTTGGAGCGATTTCTCTCATTCATCGGCATCCTGGGACGCGCGGCTCGTCCCGGAATTTGCTCTCATTTATCCTTGTAGTTTAGGAACCCGTAGTCAGTAGTATTCCTTGTTATTTGTCTGTTTTATTGTTGTTTAGTATATAAACTCAATTAATCTAGTCGTGTTTCGTACGGGTGTATTATTTTGGTGACAGCGTCGAGTGGACGCGCCTTAGGGCCCTATAGGTGTCGGACGCGTGACGTCCTAGGGCTAGGGATTGGTTGTGTATGGCAGTCGGCCTGTTTCGACTAGGGGTGCTGAGTCCTCTGAGCCGCAACAGTTTGCTTCTTTTCATTGTGAGTTATCCGTTGTGAATGATTTTTAGACAAAATACTGCGTGACTGCTATGTAATATCTTCAAGAATTTTAAAAAACGACTTTCTCGGGTGGTAATTCTAGCGTGGGGTTGAAGTTGCGAGCTTTCAATTATTGCGCGCAAAAAAATTTTTTGTGACCCTTCTAAGTAGATGTCTAGATAATCATCTTTTCTACTCATCTTACTTTATTTTCCGTGAGCTGTAAAACTGATTTGTCTCATCAACTTTTTCTTCGCAAAGCTATCTCTGAGATATAATGTTTCATGATTGATTTTGAATCTCAAGAGAGTAAAATTTTCAATGTCAAAAGGTTCCGAAACTTGTTGTCACATTTTTCAAAAGTATTATGGAGGTGCATTACTGGAGTAAATGGAAAATGCAAGATTTTTACCCATACCTAATGTTTTGTGATACAACAAATTTCTTTGAGTTGAAAAAAATGTGACAGGTTTAATTAAGAAGAAAATGAGGAATGTTCGAAATTCGGCTCACAATGGATTTCATGATCGTTGGTCTCGAGCGAAGCACCGTTTTGCAGACAATATAAAGGAATCCAGATTCCTTGGGTGCAAAATAATTGATCCTTGAACTGGAACCACGTACATCTTATTGACAATGCATATGACAACGGGATATTCAGACAGGGATCGACGGGAATAAATTAGCGCGAAAGGCTTAGGTTGACTTCGGACAAATTTAGCGGAGTGCTTAGTATGGAGCTGGAGGGAAAGGACACAGGATGATGATGTAAAATACTATGCTGTGGTAAAAGGAGGAGCGAAATGTAGAAATCTAGCTAGAAGAAATTAGGCAAGTTTGTTCTTCGACCTCATCGTCATGCTTTGCAGAAAGCGAAACGAGCGAAATGTAGCAC